ATTAAATTCCAGTGAAATATATTTATGTTTGTGGTTGTAATGTGACAAAATATGGAAAAGTTCAAGGGGTATGAATACTTTTGCAAACCACTGTATCTGCATCCATTGGATGTTGTGTTTGGAATCACCTGCTTTGTTTTAAGGTGGTGAAACAAATTGCTTGTATTCATTCCTTTCTACACACTTTGCAGATTATTTTTTCTGCACTCCACGTGTTTAATCCCTGCGCGCTCCGGCGGGGTGAAAATCATAGTCGCGCTTTGGAGTGCGCGCGGATTCGGCCATGCGTCGTCTCGCTATGACCCCAGGAGAAACGAGGTTCAGACTGATTTTTGTGTGTCCCACCTGAGCACTGACTTCACCTGCACTGACAGTCGCCTCGCTGCGTGGAAATGAATGGAGAGCGAGCGATGTCACCTCCCATGTGTCGAGTCCTTCACACAAGCCGCGGCGCACGCTCCTCCCGCAGCAGGCAGTGTGGTCGGTCGGCATGCGACTGGAGAACGCGCCGTCACGTAAATATGTAAACAGTTCGGCGTTCATTTTCACACACCCGAACCAGGTCCAGATAAGTTTTTTCCCCCTCTTCATTTTCGCTCTCAGCCAGGCTGCTTCCTGCTTCATCTGTTTTGACTCCAGCCGGTTACATCATCAAAAAGAATTGCGCGGTTGGCCGGTAGATTACAGATCTCTATCATAAGACAAATTTATATCGTTTCTACCATATATCGTTTATATCGCACATTCCTACAACCAACCATTCATCTGTCCATCCATCAATTGCTCATCTATCCATGCATCTATCCATCTGTCCATCCATCTTCATCATGCAAATAAATCAGGTTTATTACTTTAACTATGATCCATTGTACCTAATTTATCTATTTTCTGCTGCTAATCTGGGACTGGGTTTTTGTCATGTCGATTTGATTCAATTCAATTCAGTCCAATTATATAACGCTGTTATGGCAATATTTATTTAACAAAGAGAAATACGTGGTCCAAGAATGAAGGTACTCCGTGAGATGATCAGCTGAGTTTTACTGCAACAGCAGGAMACACAGAGAACAACCTGGCCTGTCTCTGTGCCTCTGCTTCTCTCTGTCACCCCACTCTGTCCACTGTCCACTGTGTCACTCACTCAAGAGGCCTCATATATATATTAACAAACACCATTATGTCATCTTRGCAAGATTTGATACAAGGTCAATGGAAAACACAAAGATAAACACAAGTGATATCTAAGAATGATTATTGTTGTTAGCAAATCTTGTTCTGACTTTAATCATTCTGTCTGCAGATGAACAGCATGTCATGAAAACCTAGGTCATTAAAGGATGTCATGAATTACTTGCTTAAACATAAAAGTATTAGTTCTGTTACAACGCCAAGTCACAACAAACGCTGTCTCAGGGCATTGTACACACGCACAAAAAAAAAAACAAAAAAAAAAACAATAAATCTAAAGAAGACAGCAGATTGTGTTGAATCTTTACTTCATCACAGTCTCCCATCCTGAGCAGCACAGAGGAAAAACTCTCTTTTAACAGGAAGAAACCTCTGGCAGAACCTGAACCAGGCTCAGGACAGGCAGCCATCTGTCTCGACCGGCTGGGTTTGAGGGACAGGAAAGAGACACAAACACAGAAGGACTGGTCCAGGTGTATTTTCCTCTGGAAGAGACAAATAAAGCACATTATTGATAGAAATAATTACAAAAAACAAGTAGAGGAGAATGACTAAATCATCTTGATCCTTACAGAACTGCTAACGAGGTCATGAGTCGCTGACTGTCCACTCTAAATGTGTTTCATCCCTCTTGAGAAGGCTTACCACTGTGTTCCTATAGGCATTCTGTCAAGGGTGATATGGGAGTATGGGGTGCCAGGTTTACTTTTAAAGGCCATTTTACCTCCTACATATCCATTTATGTGCTCTCTTTTGTTACTTATCCACTCTTTGCCTTCTTATTCTCCAGGAGCCCTACCTCCGGTCAGAATGTGAGTGCTGCAGTTATCGTCTGGACCCAGACAATCCAGTTCGTTTCCTGAGCCTGCAGTGTGAAAGTGGAGAAATTGAGCCAGTTGTTCTCCCAGTCATACACAGCTGTGAGTGCACAAGCTGCCATGGTGAGGATGAACCTTCCTAGATCAATTTGCATGTCTATCACCCATGTCAGTATGAAAACTAGACATTCAAATACATGCCTAAGTGTACACACAGATATCAGAGTACACACTTGTGATCTCAAATCAAATCTGATCTCATCAAATGAGCAAACGTGGAAGATTCAAAAGTTGTCATTTAGTGTTCATTTCTTTTATTTGAACAGAGCTTAAATAAATACACTAATGACCAACAGCGTGTCAGACACAAACAGTGGCTAAATTAATCAGTAAATAATCCAATTCTTACGATGAAAATTTAGGCTCAAGGTGAACTTGGAAAGCCCTAATTTGTTCTGAAATGAATGGCTGAAAACGTATTACATACTTTGAAAGTTATCTGACAGCTTATTTGAAGAAGCCCAAACTTATCTGACATTAGCCAACACAAACATAACCAACTCAGTATTTATTTGCATATTTTGAGCCTACAGTTGTTTAAAATTGTATTTAATCTTTTTTTTTCTTTTATTTGTTTTTGATTGAACAACATAAATAATCTAAGAATTTTTTAACCTCCTATTTTAAGCCTTTATTATTTTCTTGTCTTTTATATTTTACTATTTTTATCCATTCATGAAATTTGAATTCTCTATTTTTGTAATAAATTTTCAAAATTGGTTTCTTCTTAATTAATGCAAACTCATTGTTATGATACGAGTTCCCTGAAATCTTATGATCTTACACTTATGTGAGGTATTTGAGTCTGATGTATAAAAAGGTGAATTATTGATCAATAAATCTGGTCTGGTGCCCCCAACAGGCAAACAGTGTGGCAGGAACAGTATCACCCTTCTGTCTTGCAACCACTCAAAGATCCTTTGTTAGGGATGTTTCACACTTATTAAGCTATAAATTAACACATTTATTAATGCCTTGCCCATAAAAAAAATTACTTCCCAAACCAACATACTCCTTGTATACTCATGCTTAATAACTCGTGAATATTGTGAATGTATGTAGTAAATGCTCATATAAATGCATTTTCACACCATGTGTAAGACAGATATTACTGTTTAGAAATAATTTGATTTGACTATGATTTGTCTGATTTCCACAGTTCAAAAGGAACTTGTGTCCCTTCAGGGTTTTTTCAACACAAATATGTAAAAAAAACATAAAATAATCTTCACTTTAGAAGTGTTCACAAACATACTTTACTAACAACTGCCTTATTTTATTGATGCACTGCAGGGTTAGTAGATAGTTGATCCAAATGTCCCCCAACAATTAATACATGTCTAACACATGGTGTGAAAGGATATGAGCATTTAAATACATAGACACACAGTATCTAGAATCATTAATTCATGACTTATTAAGCATGAATAAACAATAAGTACGGTATGTTGGTTTTGTAAGAAATTAGCCTTTATGGGTAAAACATTAGTAAATGTGTTTATTTGTAGCTTAGTAAATGTAAATCATTCTTAATTAATGATTATTTCAAGGTTAACTAACCATTTATTGATGACTTATAAGGTTAAAAAAGTACAATTCTAAAGTGCCACCTTTTATTTTTTTTTAAATTTTTTATCAATGTGCCACCTTCTTTCAGTGTAAAACAGCACATTTAGTCAGCTCTTTGTCTCTTCTCTCACAGGAGGTGACCTGTCCAGACGCTGAGTTGGTGTGTTCAGTGTGTAGCTCTGTGTGTGTGTGTGTGTGTGTGTGTGTGTGTGTGTGCGTGCGCAGAATGAAAAAAACGTCTGAACCCCACGCTGAGCAGGAGCACCACTCAGATTCAGCGATGGATGAATGAGACAAACAGATGGATGGATGAGAGGAACGCGATGCTCTCAAGTCTTTTATCATACTGCTGCTGTTGCTGCAGCTCATCATAATATTCTTTTCTGCCTTTTTCTGCTGTGTAATTCTTAAAGATTTGAATCTAAGCTCGGAGAGGTTATTTGTTTTATCTGTTTAAACGAAATGCTAATTTACCAGGTTTTCTTTATGTTGGGTTATAAAGTTTGATGTGTTTTTTTATGATTTCAGTCCAGTTTCATTGGACTGATCAATAAACAAATGGAGAATCATATTTTTTATTGCTTTTTTATTTTCATTGAATTGTCTTTATTTTCCAGAATGATCATGTTTTGATATTTGTTCTTTTTTATATAATTAAATGTAGTGCATCAGTTTGTTCTCTTGTATGATGGTTTGTTTTGGTGACAGTTTTGATTTAAATACTAACATATGAACCAAATATACTTGTGTTTTATGTCATGTAAATTGGTTGATTAAACGTAATTTATTATGTGTTTACACAGCAAATCATAGTTTAAAATTAGAAATATCCTGGAATAGTCATGCCTTTAGCCAAATGAAGCACATGCAGTAGACCATATTGTTTTTGTGTTTATCAAATATAATTGTACATTTCACACCCTGCATATACCGGATTCAGTGAAATATTTTAACCAAATATGCAGAGCATGTAGGTGATAGAAAAACTCCAAAACCTCTGAAGAAATAACTATTAAAATCACATATGGACACGCCTACTTCAGCCTCTTTATAAACCACACAAACAGGATTATTACTACATATATTTCATCTATAGCAGATAAGGGTGCGTTTATTTTAACTGCTTTGAGAAGCACCAGCTCTAATCAATAGATCAATAAAAAATAAAAATGACTACTTTTGTCTATTCCTTCCTATTGATCAGATCAGAGGACAATATTACAGGGAGCTGTTACTGAAATGAATCCAATGGAAGAAACACTCTCATTAGAATCAGACTGTTTTTAGACACAGAATTTATAACTCAACTTTTATTCCTTCAAATAATATGATTTTTTTGCCTCAAATTTGCCAGCGAAAATTTCACCTGCAAAAGATTTGCCTGAAAAAAAAAAAAAAACTGCACCTGCAAATGTGTTGACTTCATGACTCAAGCTAAAGCAATCAGCGTTAGAGTCAAGCTGCTTTTAGCCAATCAAATTAGGCTCATTTTATCTTCAAATGGCTTGCCATACTAGACGGGGTGGTGCACTAGCTGTCATCAGGTCAGTCCCACATTTCACCCACTTCTATTGGATGAAAACATAGACCTTGATTGGCCGTCAGTATCTGATGTTTTGTTACATCTGCTTAACAGGAAAAACCTCATTCATTTTCATTCAGCCACTAACCAGCTGACTGTTCTGAGAGTTACCTCTGCCAGCACTGACGTGACGTAACCAAATGAGCGTAATTTGATTGGCTAAAAGCTGCTCGACTCACTCTCATGCCGATTGCTTTGGCTTGACTCACCAGAAGGTCAACACGTTTGCAAGTAAATTTCTGCAGGTGATTTTTTTTTTTTTTGCTGGTGAATTTGAAGAAAAATATCACGTAAATAAATAATCGCGAAGGATAAAAATTCAGTGTTTTTAATTCAATGTTTAATTCTAATGAGACTATATATTTTTTCCATATCGTACCTGTATTAATCCATACATACATTATCTTTTACCCGCTTCTTCCTTTCAGGGTCACTGGTGCCCACAGTCCAGTGGTTACAGTGTAAGAGGCGGGGTATATCCTGGACAGGTCGCAAGTCCATCAAAGAAACACAGAGACAAACAACCGTTCACTCTCTCACTCACACCTAGGGACAATTTGGAGTTACCAATTAACCTAACAGTCATGTTTTTGGTGTGTGGGAGGAAACCAGAGTGTCTGGAGAAAACCCACAGAAAGGTCCCCGACCGGGATTTGATACAACAACCTTCTTGCTGTGAGGCAATGACTCTACCAACTGAGCTGGATTGAATTCAATGCCTTGCACAATGAAATTAACGGCAAAGTAAAAAGTAAGAAAGACAGAAACAGGGTCATGCACATTCACGTGAAGATATTGCACAGTACATCAATGATGTTAAATAGTTGATTAAATAATTTAATCAAGCACAGTTGGTGGGTGGAAGATGTGGGGGTTGGGAGGGGTTAGACTGAGAAGTCAGTTCATGTGTGAGTTCAGGATGGTTGTATCTTTGAGTCAGTCTGTTTTTGTTTTGCTGTTCCTGTATCATCTCCTGGAGGGCAACAGGTCAAACAGTTCAATACCAGGGTAGGAAATGTCTTTGGGGATGTTTTATTTGTCACCCCACAGCATCATGCCTGCTGAACTTCATGTTGTCAACAGAGCTGAAGCGTCTGGTGAGCACTTCTACCTTCTTAGCTTGGATGCAAGTATCCACAAATCTGAACCACTGACTTCTCTGGTAGGAGTCCTGGGCTGTCTGTTCCACCTCCTCTATGTAGAAATTGGTGACAATCAGGGATCCCATGGCACAGCACTGCTAATTTTGCTAAATAAACAGAATGAGAATTGTTTTACCTTTTTAATCTCTGTGTGGTTTGTGTTCTATTTTATATAGAAAAATGCTGTACCTAGCTGTGCTTTGACACTAGTTTCCCATAATCGCCACTTTTCCCCCCCTCTTTATTCTTAACTAAGTAACCTCTGGCTTTTCAGCTGCTCTGCTGCTGGAAGTAAAAGGAGACGGTGCTGATGCATTTTTAATCCCCAGCAAAATGTCACAGTTTGATGGATGGTCCTTCAGTCATCATTCACTAGCCAGGATGCAATTTATCATGCCTCACTGGTCATTAAAAGTCTGAAAAATAATCTGAATTCATGGAACTGTGCGAGTCATTTTTCAAAACTGCCTCTAAAGAGCAGCAGCAGCAGCAGCAGCAGCGTGTTCCTCTGGTGTGTTTCAAAGAACTGTTTCAGGTGGGTTGGATTAGAGGAAAGACAGTTTTAATTGATACTTTCAACACATTTATTCCAAATAAAGCATAACAAAAAACAGTTTTAGCCAGTTAAAATGGATAAAAATTAGCCTCTACCACACAGCTCATCTTTTTTATTTATTTATTTTTTGTTTCTGGTGATCATATTGCAGAAATATTGCATCTTGAATCTTGTTTCACAAACCTACTCATTGTGACACACAGGCCATCACAAAAATGATTATGACTCAGATGCTGATCTCAAATTGGCTTTGGTAGTAGCTGAAAATCATTCACAACTTCAGTTTTTTTAACTGATTTCATAAGATTCTTTTATTTATTTATTTATTTTTACAATTTCAAGGAAGTCTGTTAAAAATTAACTCATGAACTACTGGACACATTTTGATAAAACTGTCAGAATGTTGTCTTTTGCATGCACATCTACAACTGACATTTTGAAGTCAGCAGATGATCACCACACAACTCAGAAAACTAGTAAACAACCACAACCACAACACACATAAACAACCACAGCTGCAACAAATTGCTGTACAAAAAAACAAAACAAACAAAAAAAAAACAGAAAAAAACACAACAAAGATTAAAAATAATCAAATAGGATTACACAAACTAAAGTCAAAAACACAAAATTAACTCAGTGGTTTCTACAACCTTGTGGGATTGTTGTTGCTGAAAGTCATTCATAACATACTCACATGGCTACTCACTGTGCAACATACTTGTCTGAAATTCAGACAATAACCTACCACTTCACTAAATTTAACAAAACTCAAAGTAATCAATGGATATAACTACAAATGATTCATTTTTAGAGTCAAGATGTTTGTCACAGCTGATTGACTTTATCTAACACAGAAAATCCTACAACTGTCATATTTACAGTTATTGGTGTGGTATAGTTTCTGAGTGCTGACACATAATGTTTGACCAGGGTTGTCTAACAGAAGCTTCTCGGTCCAGTTGGGACAGCTTTTTTCATCTGTTGCTCACCTTCAGTATGGAGTACCTCAAGGCTCCATACTAGGGCAAATTTTATTTTCATTGTACTTAATCCCCCTGGGATCTATTTTTCGCACATATAACGTGTCATACCATTTTTATGCTGGTGACATTCAGGTCTATCTTCCATTAAAATCTAGCAGATCCCAGTCTGTAAATAGGCTACTTGAATGCTTAAAAGATGTGAGCGCATGGATGGACCTGAACTTTCTTTATCTTAATGATAAAAAGACAGAGGTCATTTTATTTGGTAACTCTGATAAACTGACAGGATGCAGTAGTGCTGTTGGACCACTGGACCCTGTGTCTGGCCGTGTGTCTGTTAGAAATCTTGGGGTGTTTTTGGATTCTGATTTTAAATTTAAAGAACAGGTCAGTGCAGTAGTCCAGTCTAGCTTTTATCATTTGAGACTTATAAGTAAAGTCAAGGATTACCTGCCTCATAATGCACTTGAGAGGGTTATTCATGCTTTTATCACTTCTAGACTGGACTACTGCAACTCTCTTTATTGTGGGATGGATCAGTCTTTGGTTCGTCGTCTACAGCTGGTTCAGAACTCAGCTGCCTGTTTTTTTAACAGGGACAAGACGTCGCGAACACATCACTCCGATTTTGTATTCTCTTCACTGGTTGCCTGTTTCTTTAAGAATTGTTTTTAAGATTTTGTTTTTAGTTTTTAAATGTCTAAATGGTTTGGCACCTCATTATCTCACTGAGCTTTTACAGCGTCTCATTCCAAACAGATCCCTGAGATCTGTAAATCAAAAGCTTTTAGTTGTTCCCAGGTCTCGGCTTGTGACCAGGGGAGACAGAGCCTTTTCAGTTGCAGGACCTCGGCTCTGGAACAATCTCCCACTGTCTGTGAGGTCTGCTGGGTCTCTAAATGAGTTTAAGTCTCTGTTAAAAACTCATCTGTTTAAACAGGCATTTGAGTCTGAAGAGCAGGATCATTAGGCCAGCCTTTGCTGTTTTGTTTGATTTTATTGTTCATTTTATTTCTGTACTTTGTTAATTATTTTTATTTTATGCACCTGTACAGCACTTTGGTTTTTATTGTGCTTTATAAATAAACGATGATGATGATGATGATGATGATGATGATGATGATGATGATGATCAAAAGGGCTACAACTCACCCCTTCTCAATTTAAGATGATTGCACTCTGTTACTAGAGTGAGAGGCGGCGAGAGATATCCATCCCCCCCAAATCCTTTAATTTAACAGACAAACAGGAGTGCTCGGTCCTGCCAAACGCGCGCGAGCCAAAAAAAACTGCCATTTCCTACGCTACGTAAAGGCACCATCCCCGACACGGAAGAAGGGGGGAACCCCCGGCGGTGACGTAGATGAGCAGGCTGAAGTGGTGAATCCCCGTCCAGCCCCGATGAAGCAAAACAAAACGGCATCAAACCAGCCTTTCCTCCTTAGGTGCCCTCATCCTGCTGCAGCAGGGCTTTCCTGTGGAGAAAGACAAGCTTCTGTTGAGCCGAAGTGCCTTTTTTTTTTTTTTTTTTTTTTACTGACAATGACAACAGAGCGAACAGAGTAGCTACAATGGGAGACTGGGGAGGTGGGTGTGGGTAAACCGGAGCTGAAGAAGAAGGCAAGTGAAGCTGCTTCCCCTGTGGATGAGAAAGGTGCGTCTCTGTCTCATCCAATGGACTGACTCCTGCACCTGCAGGCTTTATTCATTGTTTTTTTGTTCGTTTTGTGAATGAGATCAATTTGTTTTAATAACTAGCTCGGGGTTGATGAGCAAAGGGTTAAAACGACGCGCAGCTATAGACGCCAGGGGAGCTGAAGTCATCCGGCAGCGCGCAGAGCGAGGAGGAGGAGGAGGAGGAGGAGGAGGAGGACACGCAGAACAAGCTCCTAAAGAAACAGATCTGTGACGACTCAAGCCGTGCTCAGTTCTTCTCTTGTCCTCTTTGCGTTCATTTGCCCCTAAGTCTGACACTCTCAGCCTCAGAGGGGTTAAAAAACAAAAGCAAATAAACAAACAGGCAGAGCGGGAGGTAAACAGAAAGCGCGCAGTCCCTCAAAGATGGCTCAAACGACGCTCATCGTCCATTCCGCCTCCCGGGAGCGGACCGGAGCGCAGGATGAGAGCTCCGTCGCGCTCCATCCACTGTGAGAGCTGGAGGGGAGTGTCACCTGACAGGTGGTCCTGTTACCCACCCCCTCCTCCAGGGTTCAGAGACACCCCGCTCTTGTCTCAGGCTCGAAACCCGAGCGTGGAAACAACGCGCGCGCCTCCTGTTTCCAGAACTCTCCTCACTTTCTCTTCCTTTTCGGGGCTGCTGCTAGTCTGAGCCACTCGGTGAAACTTTGGCTCAGTTCCTCCCATCTTCGCCTCGGGGTACCTCGGAGTGACGGGCTGCTGTTGTCAAAAGTCCCGAAGTGTCTGAGAGCTCAGCGGCCGCTGCAGCAGGGAGGATGCCGGTGCGGCGGGGCCATGTGGCCCCGCAGAACACTTTCCTGGACACCATCATCAGGAAATTTGACAGTCAAAGTAAGAGCGAAGTTTTATTGCTTTAAAATAATTCTCTGTGCCATTGATTTCTGTACTCCGCCAGAGGGATTAAATTATTCAACTGCTTTAAAATGAAATGATCTTTCAGCTGCAATTTGTGTCCCCATAATTTGCTCCTATAAACAGTTTTGTGACAATGAAATTTTCTTGGCAACAGGCTTTAATTTTATTAAAGTGTTTTTACAGTAGAATTTGATCATCAGTTTGACATTATGTTACTTTGGAGCAGCTGTTTTCTAACCCTGGTTAGAAAACTCCTGCATAATTTAGATGTTTCCCTGCTTCTACTGATTAACATGATTTTGTTGAACTGCAATCATCTGAATCTGAATTAGATCATTTATTAGCTATAAATGAGTCAACTTTACATCCCTGTTTTGTATTAAGAGGAAAGACTGGCAGTTTCCTAAAACTAACTTTATTTTCATTATGCCATTGTAATAAAATAAAATACTTCTGCATTACCGTTGCCGGTGTACAAACACTACACACTTTTTCAAACATTATTATACAAATAGCATTAATTTTATTTTATCTCCTTACTCACCAACATACACAAATGTTAATATAAACAGTTTTTTCCCATAAAATAATGCTGGCATGCCTTAAGTTTTAATTTTCTTCAGAAGTTCTTATAAAACACTCTTTTTAAAATGTCACACTGCATACTGTAAAGGTTCAGTCACAGTACATCACAGTATGAAAAACTATACCCAGAATGCATGCCGATTTGAATGAAAACAAGAAAAGCTTCACTGGATTTGAATTTACAACTCGTTAGTCCACCCAATTCAAGATGGACACCATAACTAATCAACCTTAACCAACAAAACTGCCTTTAACTTAGTCAAATTTACAGTTGTATTGAATTTAGTACAGTACTGTAATTACACTGTATTCCCGAAGGATGTAATTTAATTTTCTATAACAACCTCTCAACAGGCAAACAGGATTCAGGGAATATGTTTGGTAACACAAAGCAATGTTTTATTTGCAAAAACAACTGTCTTTCTACAAACCAGTTTGATGTAGACTCGCTTTATGTCCTATTGGTGTCTGAACTGATAGCCAGATGCGTAATGCTTTGGAAGATAAAACTCAGTTATGTTAGAATGAGATATTTTATGTAGCATATTTTGTTTTCTTTGCCCTGACAAAAAGATCAATATCACATTCATGTTTCCCAATATTCCAGCAAATTGGAGGCTGCAAAACAGAATATAGCTGCTACTTTAAAATTTATTCTAAAATTTACACACAAGAGGCATGACATGTTACAGTGTTTATGTTCTGATATGTGCAGGCATCACTTTGTTAGAGCTGCATTGGCTTTCATGTTGTTCCCATGTCTGGATGATGGGATTTAACTTTCAATGTGCCTGAGTTTCTTCCATTAACTAAACTTAACGTTGATGAAGATGAGGTTAAGTGCAGTGTGAGGGGAATCGAGAAGCATCAGCATCAATAAAAACATAAATTAAAAGTTTGGTATAATTAGGTGATATCCAGTAAGCTAGGCTCAGAGCACCGAAGACCCCGCCTTCAGCTGCACTAAAAAGGAGCTCCAAAAAGATTCTGGGAAACTGCTAAAGCTTTACTAACACTGCATGACCTCAATCAGTGATGTTGTCAGACAGTGGAAGAAATCCTTTAAGGACCTTCTTTGTCCTCCAAGAACATCTTCCATGGAGGAAGCTGAGTCTGAGGGCTTGAGGATGGCCATGCATAACTGGGGCTGAGATTGCAGAGGTAGTGAAAAAGCTCTGTGGTGGCAGGTCTCCAGTGGTAAACAGAGTCTCCCTGAGTTCCTCGACTCCAGGTGATGCTGGGCTGTATTGTTTGACAAGTTATTGTAACATTGCAATATACCATACCATACCATACCATACCATACCATACCATACCATACCATACCATACCATACCATACCATACCATACAATACCATATCATCTTTATTTATAAAGCACTTTAAACACCCACAGAACAAGGTGCACATAATAAAAACATTCATTCAATCATAAAGCCAACAAAAAATAAATACAAACAATTTAAAAGTCAACATTTACAAATGGTGTCCAAAGGCCAGAGACTAGAAATGGGTTTTATAAAGAGATTTTTATGGACATTGGTGTCAGTGCAACTGGAGAGGTAGACTGGGGTTGTAGTTTCCCATTTTAAAAAGTGGGACTGGAGGCTGTATTCCAGTTACAGGGAAATCACAATCCTCAACATACCCAATAAGGTCTGGTCAGGGATGCTGGAGAAGAAAGTCCGGTTGATGGTCAAACCTCAGATTTAGGAGGGACATGAGTTCGGTCCTGGCTATGGAAAACTGGACAAGCTTTTTACCTTTGCAATCATCCTTAAGGGGTCTTTGGAGTTTGCCCAACAACCCACATGTGGTTTTTGACTTGAAAATTGCCTTTGATTTTGTTTCCTGGGATGGCTTGTGGATGACTATGGGATTGGGCATGCATTGGACTTTTCAGTCCCTATACGAAGTTCAGGAGTCTGGTTTGCATTGTCAGCAGTATGTCAGAGTCATACCCTGTCAGAACTGTCCATTGCCACCAATTATTTTCATAACTTTTATGGACTTAATTTATCTGTGCTTTTAGGGGGCAAAAAGGGGTTCATTTTGGTCACCTTAAGATTTCATTTGTACTATTTGCCAATGACGTGTTCTTGTTGGTGTCACTGTGCTATGATATCCAAGTGAAGCAGTTTGCAGCTGCCTCTGTAGGAAGATGTTCCATGTATGTCCAATTGGGAGGAGATACTTTTGAAGATATGCTGAAGAAACTGTGTCTCTCAGCTGGCCTGGAAATGCTTTAAAAACCTCCCAGAAGTGCCAGAATAGGTGTCAGGGGATAGAGATGTCTGCACCTCCCTGCTCAAGCTCCTGCCCCACAACCTGACTCCAGAACAAGCAGCAGATGATAGGCTACGTTCACACTGCAGGTCTTAATGCTCAGTTCCGATTTTTTGAAAAAATCCGATCTTTTTGTGTGAACGTTCACATTACATTTTAAATGTGACCTGCATCAGACCCCTGTGTGAACGCAACACAGCACTGATGTGACACACATGCGCAGTAAAAGACGTGACGTCTCATCAGCCGGCTGGTTTGTTTACAGAGCTAGCATGGATGCTACATTTTGCACATCGTATCTGAAGTTGTTGTTTAATCAGAGCCGATTAAATAATTATCTGACATCTTGTTTAGTCAGTGTTTATAACTGAACCTGCCTCTGACCGGGATGCTCCAGTGAAGCTTTTTTTTTTTTAAAGAAACTACGAGCTGGAAAAAAGTATCGGCCAAGTATCGAACTTTAGGATCGATACTCTTCGGGACCCAGGCTGGACCATTATTATCATACTATCTACGTGGAAAATGAAAAGTAAAAAGAMGAAGCAACTGGACTTGTGTTTTGGAGCTGTAAACACACGGAGCTACAGATTTAAACAGTGAGACTTGAGGTTAGTGTCTTATCGATCCTTCACCCCCTCCTCCTGATGAAAAAGTCAGATGAATGTGACATGAGCGTTCACACTGCAGTCACTTTGAAAACATCAGATATATATCCGATTTAAAACCACATACTGAAACGGCCTGGGTCGGATTTGAAAAAATCGGATTTGTCGCGTTCAGACTGTCATAAAAAAATCGGATATGAGTCAGATGGGTCAAAAAAATCGGATTTGGGTCGGATTTGCCTGCAGTGTGAACGTAGCCATAGATGGACGGATGGTATATCTAGTTTTATTAATGAAATCTAAACAGCAGTTTATCCTGGGCTTTAAAAATAAAGCTACAGTCATGAGCTAAAGAGACTATCTTTCTAAATTTCTGAATAATTCACATTCCAGCTCTAGGTGAAATCTCTCTGAATTAATCAAGTCTTAAGAGAGTCTCAAAACAAGGCATCTCCAGTACACTTTCCTCTTTCAGCTCTGCACAAATGCAGCCAAGTAAAAAAAAAAAATCACGTTAATCCTCCTGTTTTAATATTTACGTCTTGATAACTCTGAATAACTCAACAAAGGCTAACGGCCTGTGCTGCTCACTGGAACACTGGGGACTCATTCCACCATGATTAAATTTTCAGTGTTTCTTCACAGCAGCCTGTGGAAGGCACTTTTCCTGGTGTGATGGATTATTGTTTATGCGAGGAAGGCAATTGATGTAACCTTTTTTTCTAAAAAAGCATGGTAAAAATAGACAAAAAAGAGATCCCAATAACACAAATCGTATGGAAATATCTTTACCAAATTGAAAATTGTGTTGTGGTAGCAAGATTTATCAAGAATGCAGAAACACGTTGGAATAAATGCACAGAAAGTCTGCGTGTATGGTCATCAATTGATTTAATCTGAGCAACAACACAGCAGAGGTCAATCAGGAAGTCTGTCGAGTTGTGGCTGGCTCTCGTCAGCGGAGAGCAGCCAGTAATAACATCATGTGACATGCTTACAACCAATCACCGTTCGACAACTGCAACCACCTAACCAATAACAGGCCTCTCAGCCCAGAAGCTACCTTATCAAAATAAGAGAGGTCATGCATTGCTGGAGTCTTGAAGTCTGGGGCAAACAGATTAAAACAGCCGAAAGTACTTATCATAAGATATTAGTAATGGACAGCGTCAAGGTGAAACAGATATAAATAATTAGTCCATAACAGTGTGAAGACAGGAACCTAAATGTGAAAACGGGAAGTGTTTGTGAACATGTTGCTGTGGTCTTAAAAATGAGATAATGACAACCCCATCCTCACTTTTAAATACATACTGATTCTATAAATCCACATGACAGAAACTTGAGCTCTAGTCCAAGTTTTCTGTAGTTAATTGTGCCGGTATGAGGGAGTGATAACAATACCAACATTGTTGTACTGGATCAGTATAAATATGATGGGATCGATACATGAATTTGTTTCTCTCTTTCTTATTTTCCCTTAACTACATTCTGTTTTTG